GGTGGAGCAGCCATCCCATGAACGATTTTATCCTTGAAATTGAGCACAATGCCCAGTGCTTCCATCAGGTCTCGTCCAATGACCATTGAGTCTGTGCTGCTCTCAAGGACCTCAAACCGGTGGGTAATTCTGACCGACGGGTTGAGCTTGGTGAACTTGAACTGCACGATGGCGCTACCGTCACTCTTGACCGGACCACCTGCAGTCTGAAAGGTTGTGTTGGACGCGACTTGTCTGCGTCCGTGCTTGGCGATAGCTTCCATAGCTGCCGCATTGATTACACTCTTCGATGCTCCACTGTCCAGGAGGGCTTCAATAGTGGAGTGTTCGCCACGTAACTGCACGTCAATGCGCAATGGCGCCTTTGTGGTAGAAGGCTTCTTATTTACCAGACCGATGAACTTGAACTCTTCATCCTCGTCACTGGACTCACTGTCAGCTTTGTACACCTTCGGGTACTTCTTCGACTTGGACGGCTTCTTAGTTTCAGCTTGTTTGTGTTCGGCTGGTTGCTGCTTCTTGAGTGCGAAGCAGTCACTGGTGTTGTGGGATGAGGTCTGATGGTGTGAGCACCATTTACCCTGTCCTTTCTGTGTTGGTGCAGCAGAGTTCCCGTGCTTGTTCTTGTCATTACCGCTCTTGTGTCGCTCCAAGTGGGTAGACTTGCTCGGTTGGGAGTAGCGAGAAGGCTTCTGCTGCTGATTGCTGTTTTTGTCCTTCGAGATGGACTTCTCGCGCATTTCAATGCGCTCGAAGTACTGAAGTAACTCACTCATTCTTTCGTGGACGATTCCAGACGCGGCAAGTTTGTCTTGCCACGCGTGAGGCATGGCACGCTTCAGGAAGCGGCACTGCTGTACCTCGGGGAGACTTTCAGCGTTCACTGGTAATTCAGCGAACATACGCACGAGTTCCTTGAGCCGTCTGTAGACTTGCTGTACTGACTCGTTCGAGCGCTTGGTTAGGTTCCAAAGTTCTTCGTCGAGGGTCTCGCTGTAGTCGAGAGGGACTAGTTGCTGGCCGATATTCTCGTAAAATTGGGAAAATGAGAATCCTTCCTGCGCCGCCATGTGCTCGCAGCATCTTCGACATCGTTCTTCATCTCACCGTCAAG